CTAGAACAAATAACCCTAAAATTTATATGGAACTACAAAAGACCCAGAATTGCCAAAGCAATCCTGAGGAAAAAGAACAAAGCTGGAGGCATAATCCTCCCAGACTTCAGACTATACTACAAAGCTACAGTAATCAAAGCAGTGTGGTATTGGCATGAAAACAGGCACACAGATCAATGGAAGAGAGGACAGAGCCCAGAAATAAACCCTCACACCTATGGTCAGTTGATCTACAACAAAGCAGGCAAAAATACACAATGGAGAAAAGACAGTGTCTTTAATAAGTGGTGCTGGGAAAACTGGACAGCTACATGGAAAAGAATGAAATTAGAACATTCTCTCACTGTCAGGATTTAAACACCTAGATCCTTGCTTCTCCTGGGCACTTACTTTACATGAATGCCAGCAGGGGTTATTGAGGCTGATGACTACCTGTAGAAGTCTTGCCAACCTAGAGGCATTCAAATCCAAAGGTTTATAAATATTACAGCAGCCACTGTGGAGAATAGTATGGAGGTTCCTTGAAAAACTAAAAATAGAGCTACCAAATGATCCAGCAATCCCACACCTGGGCATATATTTGGAGAAAACTCCAATTTGAGAAGGCACATGCAACCCCTATATTCATTGCAGCACTATTGACAATAGCCAAGACATGGAAGCAACCTAAGTGTCCACTGACAGAGGAATGGATAAAGAAGATGTGGTACATATATACAATGGAATATTACTCAGCCATAAAAAAAAGAATGAAACAGTGCCATTTGCAGCAACACGGATGGATCTAGAAATTATCATACTGAGTGAAATAAGTCAGAGAAAAATATCATATGATATTGCTTATATGTGGAATCTAGAAAAATGATACAAACGAACTTATTTACAAAACAGAAACAGACTCCCAGACATAGAAAACAAACTTACAGTTAACAAAGGGAAAAGGGAGGGGGAGGGATAAATAAGGAGTTTGTGATTAACAGATACACACCACTGTGTATAAAATAGATAAACAACAAGGACATACTGTATAGCACAGAGAACTATATTCAATATCTTGTAATAACCTATAATGGAAAAGAATCTGAAAATGAATATATATATATGTATATCTATCATCTATCTATCTATCTATCTGTCTATCTGTCTGTCTGTCTATCTATCTATCTGTCTATCTATCTATCTATCTGTCTGTCTATCTATCTATCTATCTGTCTGTCTGTCTGTCTGTCTATCTATCTATCTATCTGTCTATCTATCTATCTATCTATCTATCTATCTGTCTATCTATCTGTCTATCTATCTATCTATGTCTGTCTATCTATCTATCTATATCTATCTATCTGTCTATCTATCTCTCTATCTGTCTGTCTATCTGTCTATCTGTCTGTCTATCTATCTGTCTGTCTATCTATCTATCTATCTGCCTATCTATCTGTCTATCTATCTGTCTGTCTGTCTCTATCTATCTATCTGTCTATCTATCTGTCTGTCTATCTATCTGTCTATTTATCTATCTATCTATCTGTCTATCTATCTATCTGTCTATCTGTCTGTCTGTCTATCTGTCTGTCTGTCTATCTATCTGTCTATCTGTCTATCTATCTAAATGAATCGCTGTGCTCTACACCATAAACTAACACAACATTGTAAATCAGCTATACTTCAATAATAAGAAAAAAGAAATAGTTGAGGAAGATTAAGAGGTAGAAACTTCCAGTTGCAAACTAAATGAGTAATAGGTACAGTGTGGGGAATATAGTCAACGATTATGTAATACCTTTGTGTGGTGACAGATCATAACTAGACTTATTGTGATGATCATTTTGAAATGTATAGAAATATTGATTCACTATGTTGTGTAACAGGAACTAATGTAGTGTTGTAGGTCAATTATAGTTCAAAAACAAACAAACAAACTCATAGATAAAGAGATCAGACCTGTGGTTACCAGGGCTCAGGAGGAGGGGAATGGGGTGAAGGTGGTCAAATGGTAAAAACTTTCAGTCATAAGATAAATTAGTACTAGGGATGTAATGTACAACGTGATAAATGTAATTAACCCTGCTGCATGTTATATATGAAAGTTGTGAAGACAATAAGTCCTGAGTCCTCATCGCAAGGAAAATTATATTTTCCTATTTCTTTAATTTTGTATATAAATGAGATGATGTTCAGTGAACTTATTGTGATCATTATTTCATGATGTATGTAAATCAAATCATCATGCTGTACACCTTAAACTTACACAGTGCTGTGTATCAATTCTATCTCAATAAAACTGGAAGAAAAAAAGAAAATCATTATCATATTACATAAGGAAGCGAGATACAGAATTTATATTGTATGTTTCCAACTACATTTTTAAAATAAGCCTTGAAAAAAGACTGAAGGGAAAGGATAAAAGGAAAGATTTTGAAATGGTAAAAGAAATGGCCTTTAATATATGAGATGTTCAGACTCGCTCATAATTAGAAAATTGCAAATTAAAACAAGACAGAAACACCCTCCTCCCCCATCAGACTGGTGATAATTTACAAGTGTGAGCACACACTGATGCTGAGGCTGCTGTGCCAGCCATGCTCGATGCCCACGCCCCGTCCCTCCACTGCACGCGGATGCCGGCCGGGGTAGTCACCAGGTTACATTTACCATTGTTGCGAGACCTGTCTTCAAGGCCAAAGGAGAGCTGTGATTCATGGTAAACCTCGGGACCACCGACTTGGTAACTCTCGTCAATTTGGGGTTCTTGGATGAAGAACATAGAAAACATGGGGGAGCATTTCCTTGATTACACACTTACAAACATTTCGGCTCACACTTTATTTTAAAAGGCTGGGTTGAAACACTCATGTTATTTTCAAATTTTATTGGAAAGCATTTTGGAAAGTTATTGTGTAAATATAGAATCAGGCATTATCTGACTATTCAGATTACATAGTCACTCATTTTTTGATCCCGCCATCCAAGTTCTAAGACTTTACCCTGGAGGGGCTTCCCTGGTGGCGCAGTGGTTGAGAGTCTGCCTGCCGATGCAGGGGACACGGGTTCGTGCCCCGGTCTGGGAAGATCCCACGTGCCGCAGAGCGGCTAGGCCCGTGAGCCGTGGCCGCTGAGCCTGCGCGTCCGGAGCCTGTGCTCCGCAACGGGAGAGGCCACAGCAGTGAGAGACCCGCGTACCGCAAAAAAAAGAAAAAAAAAAAAAAAAGAATTTACCCTGGAGATACATCTCCAACAATAGGAAAATACTTATGCACTAGGCTGTTCATTGCAGCAGTGTTTGTAACTGCAGAAGGTTGGAACCAAGTGAAAAGACTGTACACAGATAGCAGGGCGCTAAGTATGGTTTACACACGTTGTGGAATATTTTGCAGCTGTGAAAAATAGAGGGAGATCTATATTAACGGATGTGGAGTGATTTTCAGTTTTCATTGTTAAGTGGAAAAAAAGACTAGAGGAGATTTATGGTGTGTGCGCCCCTCATGCAATAAACGAGGGCTACACGAATGTCCCTCGTCTCCTCATTTGTGCAAAAGGAGACACAGGAAGATGGAACTAAGGAGACTGGTCCCCTGTACAGGTGGGATGATGGGCTGGGGGGGCTTTGTGTGTTCCTTTTTCTAGAGTGTGACTTTCAAAACCACGGTGATGCTCCACAGAGTCAAATGTAAATAAGTATAATTAACAGGATGAGGGGACCGACAAGGGAGAGCAAACAGTAACAAGGAGCCTTATGTATTAGAAATGAGCTACACGCAGGGTGCCCGGTGGGCAGGGAGGATGGCCCTGGCGACACCAGAAAACAATGACACTTAGAGATGAAAGGACCGATGAAAAATATTGTTCTCCTGTGGGGTGACTGGATTTTCTCAGGGGTGGGGATAGCAATTCTGAACTCCAGGACTACACAAACAGTTAAATCTGTGTGGAAAGTGGGAGCCACGTTCCTAACAAAGTGGTACTGAGAAGGAGCTTTGAGAAGAGCCCCTGAAATTGATACTGGAGTGGAGCCAGAGGTGCCAGTGTGAACTCATGGTTTATACAGAGAGACAAAGAAAGCAGGGAGGGAGACTGAGAAGTCAGCACAGAGGTGTCTGTGCGTGTCTGCGTGCGTGTGTGCATCTGTGTCTGTGTGTGCATGTGTCTCAGTCTGCATCTGCATGTGTGTTTGTGTGTCTTCATATGTTTTCCAGCTCTGTCTGCCGAGAGAGACTGGAAGCAATGCTATTCCACTGAATTTACCTGGCAGCCACCTTTGGTTTCTAAGTTCAGTTCTTCAGTAAAAGAAACCAGATTCTTAGGCTGGGGCCGGTGCAGTACAGGAGGCCCAGGACATCTTGTGGTGCCAGAAAGTAAGGAAGTGCTCCAAAGGGATGAGGCATTAAGAGGACAGAAGAACCAAATGGAAGGATTTCCCAAAGCAAATTTGGGGCAATTTGGACAAGACAGTAATGACATTAACGTGCTGAAATCGATAGAATAAATATTTATGAGTGCAAATGGATATGAATAAACATTTAAATATGCACATACATACATATTTATAAAGGGCAAGCTCTTCCTTAAACCAGAATCCCAATTAATAGCAGAGAAGGATGATAGAAATAAAAAACTGCCTTTCAGCAAACACCACACTCGCCATTGGGCAATTTGCACAGGTCAATGTGTGGGACGCACCCAGAGGTGTTAGAAATATTAACTGTAACTGCAACCCTATTCCTGTTCAATCTTCCAAACACCAGATGCCCGCCGGCTCACTGGAAAGACTGTTTGGGGAATGGGCTGAAATGCAGATTCCCGGGCGCCACCTGTGGAGATGTTCGATGGGCCCGGGAATGTGTCTTTGAGTCAGCTCTTGTCTTCTCCGTCCCCAGGAGGCGGGAAATCTGCCTGACCAGGGAGGTGTCACAGTGGAGGAAGCAGCATCGCTCTCCAACCCGCCAACCACGCTGTTCATTCCCCAAGAAGGAGGCGTCTCTGCCTACATCCTCCTGTCCTCCCACCTCGTCTGAGCTCGGGCTGGGACCTGCCAGGTTGCATTTACCGTTATTGAGAATTTTGTCCTCAGGGTCCAGAGATAATGATGAAATATCTGAGAGCTCATGGTAACCCTCAGGACCACCAACTTGATAGCTCTCATCAAGGCCAGCATCTTTGGTGAAAAGCATGGAAAAAAATGATGGAAAACATAAATGTACACCCCCGCGAACGTTTTGGTCCATACTGTACTTGAGCTTGGGATGCTAGCACAGTTTTCAACTTCTACTGAAAATGTGCTCTGGCAACTTAGTATGTAAACAGGCTTCATCTGACCTCCTTGAAACCAGCTGTTTGGCAGATGTTCCATGAGCTATTGGAACTTACATCTGGATGTAAAATTTCAAGAAAATGCTGAACTTCCCTGCTGCTGAATGCATTTTCACACGCTGCGTGTAGATTTCTGCAACGTGGCTGTCTCCTTAGCGAGGGTCAAATGTTCCGTCTTGGGTCTCAGGGTGCTATTTTACTTATCTGTATGCATTTGGACCACATGAAGCTGCAGTTTGGGAAAGCACATTGTTTTGTTCACTACTAGCTCTGGGGCCTTAGGCCAGTCCTCTTCCAGACCTTACTTTTATCCCCTGTCAGATGGGGTCGTAGTCACTGCCCTGCTCTCAAGAGGTTTAGGTGAGCATCAAACGTGCTGGGTGGTCGAAAGCTCCTATTTCTGTGCGCCCCGGGTTCCCCCAGTGGCTAAACCCCACCTGCATCCCAAGCACAAGGCCCTTCTTGCACGTGCACCCAGAGACCAGCCAGGATAAAGGAACTTGTTTCTGCCTGTCTAGGTGTGACCTCCCCAATCTCGGGAAGATTACAGCAAATGTTTGGGACTACTGTTTCATCCACATCTCCATCTGCTTTTGCCCCAAAAGTAGCTGGCCTCAAAGAATGCGACCATGATGGGATTGTGTATATATACCACAGACCTCTAGAACACATGTAATTAGGCTTTAGGAAATGTGTACTTGCTTTTTTTCTTTGTCGGAGTCTTTGTTGATGTTGGTGGGCGTCTTTGTGTTTCAAGAAATGATGATTTATTTGGCTCCAACATCTCTTGGGCCAGAATTTCATCTTGGAAAAAGCACACAAGGACAGTTAAACCAGCAATGCAAGACCCTACCTACATCCTTCTGCTCTACACAGACAGTGAATGCTGGACTGGACACAGGGACTCAAGGAGCTCCGTGGAGATGGACCTGGTTTCTAAAAACCTTGTCTCGGGGGGGAAACCACCGCCTCCATAAATAACTTCTGAAAACCTGAGATCATCCAGGTACCCTGGACAAGAAACATGCCCCCGGAGATACGATGCTGGAAACCCGGCCCGGGCGTCGTCGTAATTCTCCTTCCTGCCCCTGCTGCCGTTCTGTCCCCTCTCCGAGACTTCTCCCTCTAGCTGTCCCCCGGCAGGCAGGCACGAGCATCTTTCCTGATTTCTACCTAATGCGGCAGGGTTTCCTTCCTGTACATCCTCTGACCTCTGCCAGGGAGCTTCTAACATAGGCGTCCTGGACTGTGTCGGGCAGCCCCGGACCACACTCTGGTTCTGCTCTCACTGGCTGTGCTCTTACACACGTTTCTCTTGAAACTTGGGTTTTCACGTCTGTAAAATGGGGTCTGTGCTTATCTCATCGGGATTTTTACGTGGTTCAAATGAAGCAATGCATGTAGGGAGCACTTAACACAGACCGGGATGGGGCTGAGGCTAAATGAATACATGGCAGCGCTGAGCCCCAACTGTGAGCCCGGTGGACATGTGACTGGCCATCCACGCGCTGGGTTTGTATTGACTCGAGCCCTGATTTTCCTGGTTCAGCATGAAAGTCCCAAGTCCCGGGAGCCCCCCAGTCCCAGCGAAGTTGAAGCTGTCGGCTGGTGCCCCGGTTCCAGCTCACGTGGAGACACACGGAAAGGGGAGAAGCCCGCAAGCACCACAGGAAGCAGAGACGTCGCCCCACACACGGGGCCAGGCTCTCCCAGTTCCGTGGCTCCTTCCCCAGAGAGCCTGAGCCTGGCCAGGGCTGGCTGTGTGCACCCAGGGGCGCTGAGACCCCTGCAGCCGGGGTGGGGGTACAGGATGTGCGGAGCGTCTGGACCTGCCATCCTGCTTCTTTCTGACGACCTGGCGGCGGCCCTGACGTCTGGAGCTGTGGACGCCCCCCGGGACCCCGGGGCACAAGCTGGAGGGCCGGCCAGGGCGACCTGAGGAGCGCAGCCTCCTGGTGGGGCTGCTGGGGACACAGGACAGGACCCCGCGGGGCGGAGTTCCCC